AAAGACAATAGTGTGCTTTAAAAGTATTCCAAAAAGAATTTCCCAATCCTACTCTTATCATATATGCGTCACTATCGATTTTAGCGACACCTGTGCTAATAATCTATGGTGACACTGGTAAGATAAAAAATTTTCTGAATATGTTTAATAAATATTTAACAGCATATATATATATAATTTGATTTTAGCTAGAGAAGATGGTTGAGAATATTTTCCACTCCTTTCCACTGGAAAAAACAGAAGCAGTTTTCAATGCAAAAGTGTGAAAAAATAATAAAGAACTTAGTCTTATGAAAAAATCCTTATATATCTTGCAATTAAAGACTAAAAAACTTGCAAAACGTACCGCAGCTTTACTTGTTCATTGATTTAAGCATGGTGCTTGGGTGCATAAATTGTGGTTTAGTAAAAGCCTAAAATCCCAGAAGATTCAATTCCGAAACGCGCTAAATGAAACAGGTTTAAAAATCTGTGGCAAAACACATTAAATGTTAATTAAGAGCAAAATGGGTTAATATTATCAATGAACTATTTTTTTTTTTAATTATGTGTTGCTAAACATTGCATGAATAGTACAATGATGTACACAGATACTGACTCACCTGTTCTTTACTAACCAATAGTCTGCACCGTTTTCTGTCCCATATCCAATAACAAGAACGGCATGGTCTAGCTCACTCGGGCTACACATTTTTTCATCGTAAATCCCACTTCTAATAAGATTCAAGAAATAAATAAAATTTAGTTAAGCAATAAAGATTTACGTTTACTAGAATTTTTTTTTTTTTTTGTGAAATAAAAAACTGAAACTCATTTTATATATTCAAAGCTAAGAAAAAAGTAACCATAGAACTAACACTGCAATCTTTCACATAATGTCGTTTTGTTAATATTGGTCAAATATTTTTGACTGAAGCGCATTAAAGAGGAAAGATACAATTTTATTAAATATTTTCGTAAATTAAAAAAGAAACAGCGTTGAAAAGCATCGGAAATTTTCTTCACAGTGAGAAAGATCATAATACCATTGACCAGCCGACATCAGGAAAAACCTGATATTAAAAATGCTGTCGGTTGCTATGGATAAAGGTTATTCCAGTCTTAGGCAGATGTGATGGGATGTGTTATATAGCTCCGTTCAGAATATATACACATTTATGTCGTAGACTAAACATAAAATCCTGCTCTTTGCAAACTGCCAACTACCGACCTCTTTTGCTAGGTTTATTGCAGCCAACCTTAATGGAGCATTACATAGTGACGTGGCATAGTCTGTATTTGTTCCTGTAACAAGGCTTGTTCCAATAAACATACGTCAAAAACTCTAAAATAATAATCTGTATTGACTATCTTTCGGTAAAAACTCATAATGCACAATACCAAGGTAATCAAGGAGAACAGTCAATATTAACTTGAATTTTGAGTGATTTTGATACAGTTTTCTTCTCTTTTTTTTAGCCCAGTTCCACATTTTAAGTGCCAAGCACTTAATGGTTGAATCATCTGTCTGAGAAGTTGAAATCTAAGTTTCATCACCTTTAATAATGCGATTTAAAGATAAATTGCTTTGTGAATCCATCGTGTTACTTAACAGTGTTATTGGTTTTACAAAGAATTAAAACACGAGATGTGACTCGTCACAACCTTAAGGATCTTTTTAAAATTGCTTGATAGAAAACAAATGATATATTATCAGTTCAATAATAACGCTTATTGTGAAAGTCGATCACAGAGTATCAGTTGTTTAATTTGATCGATATTTTGATCATTAATCGAAGTAGATAGTCTATCAGATCATTGATCGCTATCAGATCGTCTTCGACAAAATCTCTATCAACTTTTCAACTAATCAAATACTGTTATTTTTTAAATTTATTTTTTATAAGCAACCTTATTTAAAAGGTTTTTTTAGAACATTTCAAATGCTTCTGTAACGGAAATTTTATTGCTCAATAAGATTCATATTTGCCGAAAATCTACGGAATAAAAATTCTTATCTCATTAAAAACTGGTTTAGTTTTTTAATCATTAATCAAAGCAGTTTAATGATAGTTAATCGAAGTAGATAGTTTATCAGATCACTGATCGCTTCAAAGATGGCGTAAAAGTTCTACTATCATTAAACTTTTCAACTAATCAAATACTGTTTTTTTTTCCTTTTTTTTCAAATAAACAACTTTTTTGAAGGTTTTTAGAACGATCATCTGTAGCGGAAATTTCATTGCTTAATAGCATTCGCTTTTTCCAAAAATCGACGGAAAAAAATTGTTTACTCATTAAAAAACTGGTTTATTTTTATATTGTAAAATTAATTACCTTCCTGACTGTTTCCAAATATTTATTAAAATCGTAAAAATGTATGCTAAAAACTTTTTTTGATATCTGCTATTATTTTAAATTAATCATTCCCGATACTTTTTTTATCACAATAAATAATTTAAAATGTGAAATATTAAATAGCATGAAAAGCGATCAATTATGATCTTCGGTGTTCCTAAAAAAATCGCAAATATCAGAAAATCTAAGAGCAGAAACTTTTAAGGAATGAATTTTGGTTTTAAAACAACACTTTTTTACTCACTTATAAAGCATGAAACTGGTATGATTTGTATCAATTGAGACAGATATTGGACCTACAGTTGCAACTGCTTTTTTCAATGACTCTTCATCACCAGAAGGTAAGTAAACTATACCAGTACATCTGGCCCCAACACTAGCTCTCTTAAAACCACAGTGTGAGTTATTCTGAAGAAAAAAAAACTTTGTAAATATGAAGAATTTATATGTTAGAATTAAAAGCTAACATCAAATTTCTTTAACTCTATGTGAAGTTCATTCACAAACTTTTCTATTTTGATACCTTCAGCAATTGGATACTTGCTAATCGAAAAGTTGAGAAGTGATTATGCCTAACCACGTGCTTCAGACTTAATTGAATATATGTAAGCGACGTAACGTATACATCTCGAACCTGATTGGCTTCTGAATCGGAAAATGCCGCGGTTTTTTAGCGATGACGTCACTTGTAGGTATCCTATTTTTTTCCTGTTGGTTAGATGACATAAAAACTAGCGATTCTAATGAACTCCTGAACTTTTGATATCATCTAGTTTTACCAGTTCAGAAATTCTATAACTAATCAAGAAATGAAAATACTTTGGTCTTCTAGGATCTCAAAGTTTATAATTGCAAACAAAAATGTACCTAATAAACGTTAAAGAATTTGAAAATTTAGTGTTGAAAATAATTTTATAAAAGCCATTATCAAGAATACATACTAATTTTCTTTTAAGATATATTGAAATAACATTAATATTATTACTTATGATTAAAACAATTAAATTGAAAACTAAATAAGTACTATAGACTTAAATAAATAAGTACTATAGACAGAACGCTTTCTATCAATTCCTGCTTTTGAAACTGGAGAAATTAAGGAAACTGCAGTAGTACACTAGATTTTCAGTTTCCTTTGCTAAGGAGAGCACTTTTTGTAAAATGTTCCAGGATTTCTATGTAAATAATAAGTTGTTCGTATGCATTGTGATGTCATCTAATTTATATTGCAGAAATGTAGGCAGTATCAATCTGAAAACAAATGTAATGAAAGTTTCGATGCAAAAATATTACATTTAGAAAAATGTTGCCCCAAGTCAATTGCCAATTGTACCTTTCCGGAGTAGGGATAGGAGTCCTCAGTGTCTATCCCTAAGTTATCTTGAATATATTTTAGAGCCCACTCCACCCTTCCTCCGTAACAGCCAAGATTGCCTATAAGAGTAAAGTCAAAATAAGGAAGCAATTATTTAATGAAGACAAATATTTTAAAACATTTTACTAGAGTCCCTACAAGCAACTCTTTTTCGCTAAATCATGCGTGATGTAAGAAAACGTAGCCCCGATTATAACATTGGAGTGTTCAAATTTTAACGTGGAGGCATGCAATCTAAATGGTTCAAAAGATAGATTTTGAATGCCCTAATTAATGATGACTATATTTCAAACTCCTGATAACTACTTAAGTTTCGAAAATTTTCGTCAACAAATTGTGCAATAAGCACTGAGAAAAAAATCTGATCAAACCTAACAGAATATGGTAAAATTTACTGTGTTTCTGGTTCTATGGGATCACCAAAGAGCTCAAAAATGTTTATCGAAGTGCTTTGGTGGTGATTTCGGTAAAATTAACAAAGAAATATTGTTTTATAACATAGGATAAAATTTGGCGATTTTAACACGATACCTTAAAGCATGATATAAAGATAATTTATTCGGTTAAATTTACTCTTTAGCTTCGCAATTTTTACTGAATGTGAAAAAAAAACTATGATTTTGAAAACCAGAATTTCGGTAAACGGTTAAATACCATGAACGGACAAATTACAAAATTTATGGCTTGGATAACGTTTATTTTGGTTATATTAACAAGTATTATGGCTTTCTTTTAACAGAAATATGATTAGTACGGTAATTTTACCTGAATTATTCATCCACGCAGTTTTAAAGATAACGAAGATAATGAAAATACCGAAAGGAATAAATTAATATGAAACGGCACTTTTATAGCAACATACTGACAGTTATAGTTTATTATACTTTACTTAGTTTGTGATCTTAATACAAATGTATTTACAATTAATAAAAGAAATTCTTTTAATAATTATGATTTAAAACGTGGTTTTATATCAGGAAAATCGAAATTACCTAGTTCTTAAAAATAAATAAAAACGACTTTTTAAAAAATTTTTTTTATCGCAAATGATTATTTTCATTAATTTACACATTAGTTTTAGATACCTTTCTATTTAAGAGTATTACTTATAAAATTCCACATTTTATTGTAAAATTACATTTTATAACATTTTGTTGTGTTGTTTGTTGTTTATTTAATGGGAATTAGAAAACTTTATTGCCGTCAGAGTTACAATGTACGGAAAGATCTTCTTTTCTTTCAATCAATCTTTTCTTTAACAATCTTCAAATCAATCTTTTCTTTAACGTACTGATATCTGGAAGGGGATATTAATTTTTATAATAGTCTTAGTAAATATTATAAACGACGCATTGAAATTTCTAGATTGGTTATTTGCTCAAGAAAATCTGTAGTTCGTGATGAATTTTCTTGTGGACATCTGATGATCATCCAGTAACCAATAATGTTTTAACAAAACTCATAATACCAAAAGCAGGTGACATTGGTGTGCAATGGTTTTAAAGTTCTTCATTCAATGGCAAAAAAGAACGCTTATTTCATTTACTTCATAGACATTTTCCCTTTGAATATTATGTGATACTAAGTATTATGACAAGAATAACCTGAATGGCAGGACATTAGGCCCTTGACCGAGAGGTCATGAGTTCGAATCCCACAGGCCGAAGGTTTATAAAATAGTGACTAGCGAACGTTAAATGTGTCGGGGTCAAACTGTCCTCCTAGTTCCCATAACAAATCAATACCTCTGGGGTAGTGGACCGGAAAATGATCGTTCTCTGGTCAAAACAATTTGCGGCAGGATTAATTGCGTATGGAGAATGAGTCATTCCTGTGAAACGGGCTGTGACACATGTGAGTGGAAAAGTCGTAGTTTTGGCCATAGATGGCGCCACACGACAGCAAGAATCGCACTCTTCTATCTTAAATTCTACCGAGCATGACTTGCTGGTATTGGCAAGTGGCATTGTAACAACAGCAACTAAGTATTATTTCAGATATAAATCATGAAATTTGTTTACTATACCATATTTCCATGAGCAGTCTATTAGATTCTGCTCGCTGAGAGATATTAATTTCCCAGTTCTCTTTTTGTGTTGCCCTTCCAGTGATCCTGTTGCAGAGAACGCCCAACATGATGCACAGAATTCCTAAGGAAAACACGGATTTCTGATTTTGAAAAACGTTATTGAGCTAAATAAATAATGTACCATTCCAAACAATTGAATAGAATAATGAAACATCTTGGATAACTTTTTATTGGAAATTATTAAATTATTTTAGAAATTATTCAATTATTTTTGAAATTATTCAATTATTAGATTCTGTTCGCTGAGGGATTTTTTATCCATCAGAGTAAAGGTAAGCTATTTTTTATTCTATTAAAAATATTTTAATAAATTTGTAAATTTTTTTTTAATAATCAAAAAGCAGCGTT